GTCAATATTTTTTAGGGGGGAGAGGGGGATAGTGAGGTTTGAACTCAGGATCTTCCCCTTCAGCCACATCTTCAGCCTTTTTCGTTTTAGGTTATTTTTCAGGTAGGATCTCACTCTTTTGCCTGGGACCAGCCTAGAATGGAGATCCTCCAGATCTCCACCTCCCGCATAAATAAGATTACAAACGTGTGTTACCACACCTTGCTTGTTTGCTGAGATGGGAGTCTTGAAAACGTTTTTCCTGGGCTGTCCTCTAACCTTGATCTTCCCAATTTCTACCTCCCAAGTAGCTGGGATTACAGACATGAGTCACTGTGTCCATCCTAAGCAGGTCAACCTTTATGGTTCAGTTTAAAACAAAATATCAAAGTAATGTGAAGCAGAAAAAGGGACATCAAACCTGACACCCTGAAGAAGCCAGCAGCTTTTATTTGGCCGCTAAGAGTTAAACTTGATGTATTCAGTTCCTACAATAAACATGGACAATGCCAATTGCAGACAGAGGAACCATTTCTTAATGGGAAATAATGGGGTAACAAATAAAAATACAGCCTGACCTGAAGAGGTGATATGGGTAACTCAGAACAAGTCAATGCAGAGGCCATTTACCATGTCTTTGACCATGCAATTAAGACCCTTTGTCTGGCTACCACACGCTTTGTGTCCAGGTGACTTCATCTGCCTTTGCTTAAGGCTGCCTTGCACAGATGAGATAATGAAGGATGGGACTTCTGCCTGCTAAACTAGAGGAATTTGAGGAGCCAGGTTTCCACTGAGCCAACATCATGATCCAAGAAGTAATCTCAGAAGTCATTCTTGGTGTGTGCACAGTTCAGTGACTTTCTCTCCCATTTTGTGGGCCCTGCTCTTGACAACAAGGATGTATTCCCAGTGCCTACCACTGTCAAAAGGGAGCTCAATAAGTGCATGTTGAATTTAAAATCTTTTCCCTCAACTTGGATATAAAGCACTGAAAATTCAAAAACTAGTGGGTGCCAGAGTTTCTGGTTAATAAGCCATTCACAGGAATGATTATGGGAACTGCGCATTAGCATCTACTCCAATCTCTTAGGGTAATCAGGTATCAGTAAAGTTTATCCTGCTTTAATGTGTGGCAAACATCAGTAGAGATGAGCTTCTTTGAGGGAGGTGGAGGACAAAAGATGGAGTCTGCTCAATCTACATCTACTAAGTCCCACACTTTTCCAAGTGTTGGGCAGAGAAAGATGAAAAGAAAATAGGCTCTAACCTTGAATAACTACCCTTGAATAATGGGTAGTTAAGGATAGTGGAAACTTTAGCACTACTGGAATTCACATTAGAAGTCTAGAATGTGTTATAATCTATATGATCAAAAAGAGAACATCCAGATGGCAGCGCCCAGACGGCTTGGGAAGACACAGACCACAAGGTGAGCTAAGCGCCACCACGCGGTACTCCCACACACAACCCTGGGCCACATCAGCATGGCCCCGTGGACACATCGACCCCCACCCAGGGAAAAAAGAAAAAAGCAAATAAACAACTGAATAATAAGCAATAACAACAAAAAAGACACGTAGCAAAGAGGGTGGGGCGCCCTGAGCACCGAAGCGGGGGGAAGGAAAATCCCTCACAACAAGCCGGCCAGAGAAGGCAGGAGCAGCAGCACACGCTCAACAACCAGGAGTGGGAAAGCTTGTAAAAGTGGCAGTTGGAGGAAAACTCCACAGGAGAGGGGGGAAGGCTCACTTCCCACGTGAGCTGTAAATAAACAAGCTGGCAGGAGAAAGCTGGTGCAGTGTCACCTCCCCCAGTGTGCTTGGAAAGGGGAAAGCTTGTAGCAGAGGCCCTTGAACAGGAGAACTCTGAGTAAACATAGCCTGAGGGACTAGGTGAGTGCTAAGCTCACCCCAGAGATCTGTATAAATAATGCCGCCAGCAACAGCAGGCTGACAGCAGCGGGCAGGCAAGCCACAGCCGCAGATAGCCATTCATAGAACTGTCTCCGGACTCTTTTTTTCTCTCTTCCTTTGATGAGACAACAACCAAACTATACCTGCATGCTGAAAAACTTACTGAAACTGTATTGCATTTGAACTTGGGACACTTTGTGGGGTTTTTTTTTGTTGTGTGTTTGGTTTTTTTCTGCTTTGATGAGACAATGACAGAACTACTTCTGAGACACCATCTCCAGGATTGGAGGCTGAGGGACCAACACCAAAATTATTAAGACTGAAACTTTATTGCATTTGACTTGGAGATCTTTATTTCTTTATTTAAAATTTTATTTATTTATTATTTTTTTTCAATCCTCTAATACCTGTTCAGCTTATCATTGATTAGTACACTATCTCTCCCTGTTTATATCTTTGAAACTTTTTTGTTTCCTTGTTTTTTTCTACTTGTTTTTTGTTTTTCCTTTTTTCTTTAACTTCTTTGCTTTCCATCTCCTCTTACCCTTTCATTCTAAATATCACCATTGTTATTATTACAAGCTAGAAAATACTTAATTGCACACAGTACAAGGACAATAACAACACCAAGGGCAATGATGGGAAGACAGAAAAAAACAGGGAAACCAGTTCTTCCACAGCAAAAAATTAATACAGGAACCAGAGGGAAATGATGAAAACAGATACTCAGATCCAGACTCCAACAAAATGAAGATAACTATGCCAAAGGACCAAATGAAGCCCACAAGAATAATTTAAAAGAAGACATACTACAGGTACTCAATGAGAATTTTATAGAGATGATACTGGATAGGGTCAACCAAAATATACAGGAGACACTCAAGAAATTCCAAGACAACAAAACAGAATTTGAAAAAGCACAAGAAGAAATAAAAGAAACCACAGAAGCACTGTATAAATACCAAAGTGAAACAAAGAACACAATTAATTAAGAGATAAATGAACTCAGGACAAAAACAGACAACATTAAAGAGGAAACCACCCAGGATATGGAAAAACCTCAGAAAAAAGAACGAAACAGAACTGCAAAACAAAACAGAAGGCCAATCCAGCAGAATAGAACAAACAGAAGACACAATCTCAGAACTTGAAGATAAAATGGTAATTAAAGGAAAAACCGAAGAACTATTAGTTAAACAACTCAAGACCTGTGAAAAGAATATGCAAGAACTCACCGACTCCATTTAAAGACCAAACTTGAGAATCATGGGCATTGAAGAAGGAGAAGAGGTGCAAGTGAAGGGAATGCGTAATATATTCAACAAAATAATAATGGAAAATTTCCCAAATCTAGAGAAAGATGTTCCCATACAGATACAAGAGGCCTCCAGGACACCAAACAGACCAGATCAAAATAGAACTACCCCACGGCGTATCATCATTAAAACAACAAATACAGAGACCTGAGAAAGAATACTGAAGGCTGTAAGAGAGAAAAAAGAAATAACATGCAAAGGTAAACCCATCAAAATCACAGCAGACTTCTCAACAGAAACAATAAAAGCAAGAAGAGCTTGGGATGCGATGTTCCGGGCACTGAATGAAAGTAACTTCAACCCCAGGATACTCTACCGGCAAAACTATCATTCAAAATAGATGGAGCAATAAAAGTCTTCCCTGATAAGCAGAAACTAAAACAATATGTGACCACAAAGCCACCACTACAAAAGATTCTTCAAGGGATTCTGCACACAGAAAGTGAAACCCAACATAACCATGAAAGGACAGGCAGCACCAAACTACAGGAAAAGAAAAAGCAAGAAAGTAGAGAGTAACCTCAACTTAGGTACACACAATGAAACCTTCAAACAACTAAGACAACTAAATGACAGGAATCACCACATACCTATCAGTACTAACATTTAATGTTAATGGACTTAATTCCCCATCAAAAGACACCGTTTGACAAAATGGATTAAAAAAGAAGATCCAACAATTTGTTGCTTACAGGAGACCCATCTCACTGACAGAAATAAGCATAGGCTTAGGATGAAAGGCTGCAAGATTTACCAAGCCAATGGCCCCCGAAAACAGGCAGCAGTAGCAATACTTATCTCTGACAAAGTAGACTTCAAACCTACATTGATCAAATGAGATAAAGAAGGACATTCCATACTAATAAAAGGGGAAATAGACCAAAAGGAAATAACAATTATCAACCTATATGCACCCAATGTCAACACACCCAATTTTATCAAACATACCCTGAAGGACCTAAAAGCATGTATTAACTCCAACTCAGTGTCCTGGGAGACTTTAATACCTCATTATCATCAAAAGATAGGTCATCTGAACAAAAAAATCAATAAAGAAATCCTATAGCTAAAATATACAACAGATCAAATGGACCTACTTGATGTCTACAGAACATTTCATCCAACTTCTACACAATACACATTCTTCTCAGCAGCCCATGGAACCTTCTCCAAAACAGATCATATCCTAGGGCAAAAAGCAAGCCTCAGCAAATATAAGAAAATAGAAATTATACCATGCATTCTATCTGATCACAATGCAATAAAACTAGAACTCAACAACAAAAGTAAAGACAAAAAACATGCAAACAGCTGGAAACTGAAAAACTCATTGCTTAGTGAACAATGGGTCATTGATGAAATAAAAGAGGAAATTAAAAAGTTTCTGGAAGTCAATGAAAATGAAAACACAACCTACCGGAACCTATGGGATACAGCAAAGGCAGTCTGGAGAGGAAAGTTGATAGCCATGAGTGCATATATTAAAAAGACTGAAAGATCCCAAATCAGTGACCTAATGACACATCTCAAACTCCTAGAAAAACAAGAACAAGCAAATCCCAAAACAAATAGGAGTGAAATAATAAAAATAAGAGCTGAAATCAATGAAATAGAAACCAAAAAACCCATATAAAGAATTAATGAAACAAAAAGTTGGTTCTTTGAAAAAATAAACAAGATAGACAGACCCCTGGCAAACCTGACTAAATGAGGAGAGAAAAAACCCAAATTAGTAGAATCAGGAATGCAAAAGGGAAGATAACAAACACCATGAAAGTCCAGGAAATCATCAGAATGGCAGTTGGACAAGCAGCATGGTCTGACAAAAGACAATGATGAAGCCCACAAACCAGAAGCTGAGGGCCAGCTGCAGGCAGAGGTTGCCGGTCATGATTGTGGAATAGTGAAGGGACTTGCAGATGGCCAGGTGGTGGTCAAAAGACATGGCAGCGAGGACCAAGAACTCAGTGGTGCCCAGAAAGAAGTAGAAGAAGGCCTGCAGCAGGCAGCAGGGAGTGCAGATGACTGTTTTTGCTACCACAAAAGTTTCCAGCAGTTTGGGGATGATGGTAGTAGTATACCAGATCTCTAGGAAGGCCAGATTGCAAAGGAAGAAGTACACTGGCATCTGTAGCCTTGGCTCAACCCAGACAATGACAATAATAAGCCCATTTCCTGCAAGGGTTAGTAAGTAGATGAGAAATCACTGTAAAGAGAGGCACTTGGAATCCTTGGATACCAGGAAGCCTAGGAGGGTGAACTCTGTGATTACTGTGCCATTTCTCATGTCCCATGATACCTACAAAGAGCAGGGAAGTTACCCCTTAGAATCATTATTATTTTTTTTAGTAAAGACTTTTTAGTTCTTATATTTCTTTACTTCCTACCTTTCTAGTTAAATTTTTGTTTACTTTTCTGACTGACACTTTAAATGTATCTCTCATAAAGAACATAGAGTTGAGTGTTTAAAATATTTTGGTCTTCTTTAAAGAAGAACTGACATCAACCCTCCTTAAACTGTTCCATGAAATAGAAAGGGAAGGAAACCTGCCTAACACATTTTATGAAGCCAGTATTATACTTATCCCAAAACGAGGCAAAGACACCTCCAAAAAAGGAGAACTATAGGCCAATCTCTTAATGAACATTGATGCAAAAATCCTCAATAAAATAATGGCAAACTGAATTCAACAACACATCAAAGAGATCATTCACCACGACAAAATAGGCTTCATCCCAGGAATGCAGGGGTGGTTCAACAAAGAAAATCAATAAACATAATAAACCACATTAACAGAAGCAAAGACAAAAACCACTTGATCATCTCAATAGATGCAGAAAAAGCCTCTGATAAGATCCAACACCATTTCATGATAAAAGCTTTAAGAAAACTAGGAATAGAGGAATGTACCTCAACATTATAAAATCTATACATGACAGACCTACAACCAGCATTATACTTAATGGTGAAAAACTGAAACCATTCCCTCTAAAATCAGGAATGAGACAAGGATGCCCACAATCTCCACTCCTATTCAACATAGTACTGGAATTCCTAGCCAGAGCAATTAGGCAAGAAGAAGGAATAAAAGGAATACAAATAGGTAAAGAAACTGTCAAAATATCCCTATTTGCAGACGATATGATCCTATACCTTAAAGACCCAAAAAACTACTCAAAAGCTCCTAGACACCATCAATAGCTACAGCAAGGTAGCAGGATATAAAGTCAATGTAGAAAAATCATTAGCATTTCTATACACTAATAATGAACAAACTGAGAAAGAATATATGAAAACAATTCCATTTATAATAGCCTCAAAAAAAAAAATCAAGTAAGTAGGCATAAAATTAACAAAGGATGTGAGTGACTTCTACAAGGAAAACTATAAACTTCTGAAGAAAGAGATTGAGGAAGACAATAGAAAGTGGAGAGATCTCCCATGTTTATGGATTGGTAGAATCAACATAGTAAAAATGTCTATACTCCCAAAAGCAATCTACATGTTTTATGCAATTCCCATCAAAATCCTAATGAAATTCATCAAAGAGATTGAAAAATCTACCATTGAATTTATTTGGAAACACAAGAGGCCATGAATAGCCAAGGCAATACTCAGTCAAAAAGAACAACGCTGGAGGTATCACAATACCTGACTTCAAACTATATTATAAAGCAATAGCAATAACAACAGCATGGTACTGGCACAAAAACAGACATGTAGACCAGTGGAACAGAATAGAGGACCCGGATATGAAGCCACACAACTATAACCAACTTGTCTTTGACAAAGGCGCTAAAAATATACGGTGGAGAAAACACAGCCTCTTCAACAAAAACTGCTGGGAAAACTGGTTAGCAGTCTGCAAAAAACTGAAACTAGATCCATGTATATCACCCTATACCAATATTAACTCAAAATGGATCAAGGACTTTAATACCAGACCCCAAATTCTAAAGTTGGTACAGGAAAGAGTAGGAAATACTCTGGAATTAATAGGTACAGGTAAGAATTTTCTCAATGGAACCCCAGCAGCTCAGCAACTAAGAGATAGCATAGATAAATGGGACCTTATAAAACTAAAAAGCTTCTGTTCATCAAAAGAAATGGTCTCTAAACTGAAGAGACCACCCACAGAGTGGGAGAAAATATTTGCCAGCTACACATCAGACAAAGGACTGATAACCAGAACATATAGGGAACTTAAAAAACTAAATTCTCCCAAAATTAATGAATCAATAAAGAAATGGGGAAGTGAACTAAACAGAACTTTCTCAAAAGAAGAAATTCAAATGGCCAAAAAACACATGAAAAAATGCTCACTATCTCTAGCAATAAAGGAAATGTAAACTAAAACCACACTAAGATTCCACCTCCCCCTGTTAGAACAGCTATCATCAAAAACACCACTAACAACAGGTGTTGGTGAGGATGTGGGGAAAAAGGAACCCTTTTACACTGTTGGTGGGAATGTAAACTAGTACAACCACTCTGGAAAATAATTTGGAGGCTACTTAAAAAGCTAAACATTGATCTACCATTTGATCCAGCAATACCACTCTTGGGGATATACCCAAAAGACTGTGACACAGGTTACTCCAGAGGCACCTGCACACCCATGTTTATTTCGGCACTATTCACAATAGCCAAGTTATGGAAACAACCAAGATACCCCACTACTGACGAATGGATTAAGAAAATGTGGTATTTATACACAATGGAATTTTATGCAGCCATGAAGAAGAACGAAATGTTATCATTCGCTGGTAAATGGATGGAATTGGAGAATATCATTCTGAGTGAGGTTAGTCTGGCCCAAAAGACCAAAAATTGTATGTTCTCCCTCATATGCAGACATTAGATCAAGGGCAAATACAACAAGGGGATTGGACTTTCATCACACGATAAAGCGAGTGCACACAAGGGAGGTATGGGGATAGGTAAGACAGCTAAAAAATTAGCTAGCATTTGTTACCCTTAACGCAGAGAAACTAAAGCAGATACTTTAAAGCAACTGAGCCCAATAGAAGAGGACCAGGAACTAGAGAAAAGGTTAGATCAAAAAGAATTAACCTAGAAGGTAACACACATGCACAGGAAATCAATGTGAGTCAATGCCCTGTATAGCTATCCTTATCTCAACTAGCAAAAACCCTTGTTCCTTCCTATTATTGCTTATACTCTCTCTTCAACAAAATTAGAGATAGGGCAAAATAATTCTGCCAGGTAGCGAGGGGGTGGGGGGAGGGGGAGAAATGACCCAAACATTGTATGCACATATGAATAAAAAAAAAACAAACCAAAAAACAACAACAACAACAACAAAAAGAGAACCTCCATTCAACAGAATTAGGAAAATCAAAGGGAAAACTCATAGTGTTTTATTTAAATTTGCATAACGAGAATGCAGCATTCAGCTTTTTCTGAGTACATTTAGTTTTACAAAAG